GGCAGTGTTTCGTTCTGCTGTGCATAGGGTCACTATGAGTTAGTGCCGACTCAATGGCACCTAACAATAACGTATCATGAGTTGTAAAGCAGAGTATTTTAAACAAGTTACAGGAAGCAGTTTAAATTAATTTTGAAGCTGCTATGACCTATAATTATTTGAATATGCCAAGAACAGTAAGGAATAGTGCATGGAGAATCACCTCCCATTAACTCTATCTTTAAGCAGTATCATCTCAGCTGGAACTTCTAATACAGCCCCATCAAGTAAGAAAAAAAGACAATAAATAACAACTTTCAAAAGCCCAGAAACAAAAAGTGACAGATAAAGCAGATCACAAAGGGAACTTTCTCAAGGATGAAACTGGGTTGATGCAGTTAAAGCATTGAAGCAAAACTGGTTCTAAAGATGATGAATAATACTTGGAATTTAAGACAAGAGAAGAGCATCCTTTAAAAAAACAAAGTTCAAAATCTTCCATTACTCTTTTCTGGTATTGAGATAGCTTTTTATAAAACACAATTTTTATATATTTCGTACATAAAATATAAGCTAAAAGTTCATGAAGAGATCTAGTTATATTAAATTATCTTCACAAACTTGCCTTAATAAAAGGTGAAAATGTTCTGTGTAGTATACTTTACATAGCCTGTCAAGCATTGTAAATGGACCAATATGGAGAATAGTAAATAATTGGTGTTAATTTATATACAGAGTCCTGGTGTGGTGCTGTAGGATAAGCATTGGACTACAAGATCTGTTTGAACTGCAAGGTCAGCTATTCAAACTCACCAACTGCTCCTTGGAAACCTATACAGAGTCACTATGGATGGGAACCGACTCAATGGCACTTACCAACAACAACAATTTATATCATCTTATTCTAGTGGGTGGAGTCCTGCTGTATATATGGGGAGTCCTGACGTGGCACCGTAGGATCAACACTGGATTGCTAACTCCAAGGTCGGCAATTTAAACCCACCAGCTACAACTTGGAAGCCCTATGCAGGGTCGCTATAACTCAGAACTTATTTGATGGCACTTAACAACAACAACACTTTATATGATCTTATTCTATTGGGTGAGTCCTGGTAGGGCACTGTAGGTTAACTAGCTGGGCTGCAAAGTTGGTTTAAACCACAAGGTGGGCGATTCAAGCTTATGAACCATTCCTTGCAAACCCTGTACAGGGACACTATCGGTCTGAACTGACATGACAGCACTTAACAATAACAACATTCTAGTGGGTAGAGTCCTGGGATCAGCACTGGACTGCTAACCCCAAGGTCGGCAATTTAAACCCTATGCAGGCTCACTATGAGTCAGAATTGACTTGATGGCACTTATCAACAACAATTCTAGTGGGTGTGCTAAAGGAATGTGAAGCCCTTTTCAAACCCTCATCCTAGTGAAGCAAAATACCGAGGGAACTGTTAGACAAGCTTAAGTAAAGTCTTCATTTCTTCCTTCTCTTAGATTGTCATTGTTGTTATTAAGAGCCATAGAGTTGGTTTTGACTCATAGTCACCCTATATAGTGTTTCTGAGGAATGAATGATAAGTTTGAACTGCTGACCTTGTGGTTCATACCAACCTTGCAGGCCAGTGCTTATCCCACAGCACCATACCTGAATTCTCTTAATTACTGAAGAATAAATTGCTTCAAAGAATTTAAGTCCCGGTATTTGGACTTAATACTCTCTTCTTGTTGCGTGCCATGGAGTCAGTTCTGACTCATAGCAACCAGGGTTTCCAAGGAGCAGCTGGTGGGTTTGAACTGCTGACCTTGAGGTTAGCAGTCCAGTGCTTATTCTACAGAGCCACACCAGGACTTCAATACTCTTTGTAGTTCCTTTTTACAGTTCAAGGGTGAACTGCTTCTCGTTAATAAATGAAGATATGTGTATACTTTTCTCTTGATTTTGGTCAAGATGTTTAATCATGATAGCTTTCAGTAGTATGTGGAATATTAAATAAACAAAAATCTGCCAAATACATTAGAAAACATTTTGAGCCATTTGTCTTTCCTGCATTGTTGTTGTTGCTAAGTGCCGTTGAGTTGGTTTTAACTCATAGTGAATGTATAGGGTTTCCAAGGAGTGACTGGTGAGCTTGAACCGCCAACCTTGCAGTTCAAACCGACCTTGTAGTCCAGTGAATTAACCCACAGTGCCACACCAGGACTCCCTTTCCTGTATACAACATAATAAAGTAAAAGATGCTTTAATATTTAAGGTTTTTTTTATTGTTGGAAACAATAATTTTAATAAATTCTATTTATCTGCTACCCTTTGGTTTTAGTTGTTTGATAATTGAGATCTTCTAAATGGTTTAGCAGGTTTTGTTTTCTTTTCAGAGTATCTTATCAAGTATACAAACATATTTCTCAACCTGAGCATCTTTGTCATAATAGATAAAAAGTCTTCTAAATGCTAAACTCTAGTACATACTTGCTTTTTAAAAATCATTAATTGAGGAAACATTGATGTAGTTTTAAGACATAAGGAAAGTTACTGATGTTTATGATCAATTTACATGGATTTGTTTATACTTCCCAGCTTTAAAAACACTTAGAATTACTGATGTGGTATCAGGAAGGGTAAAAATGTTAGTTCCTCCAATTATACCTGTGAAATTTGAGTCTGATTTTTAAAAAATTAAATAACTTCTGATAAAGTTACTTAGCATAACAATAGTTTTTTGTTACATGCATGGTTTTTATTGGGTTAACATTGGCTTCAGTTAAATCTTTTGAATTGTAAAGTAAGTATAATTACATTGCAGGAGTTTAATCTCATTTGCAAAAGCTGAATCAAATTATATTTTTTGTTGAATTAATAAGATAGCAATATTGAATTCAGAACCACTGGAATATACTAACATTTGGTTTGAGGTTGTGTTTTGTAATTTTTTTTCCTTGATGTTGTGTGGAGTTTGTTTTTTAAAAGAATTAGAAGCTGCTGGATCTACTAGTGAAGATTCTGGAATCATTCAGGCTTCTGTGGTTCATTGATTACAAAGAATGCTGAATGCCAGTGAACTATTTTCACTCTTTCTATTGTTGTTGTTAAGTATCATTGTGTCAGTTCTGACTCAGAATGACCCAGTATAGGGTTGCTGATGAGTGGCTGTAGGTTCGAACCTACAATAAGGTCCAGTGTATAGCCTACATTGCCACATCAGGACTCCACTCATGGTATGAAGTATACAGATTTCTGGAGGGGATGGTGGCAGTGGTGCCTCTCATTACCTAATGTAAAACACTTGAGCATTCTCATCAATATTGCTATCATCTGTTTTACTTCCCAGTATCTTTTCTCAGGGTCTGTTTATGCAAAATTGTATGGAATGACAAAACTTATAAGCAGTAAAATCGAAATTACACACACACACACACACACACACACCAAAAAAACAAAACCTAACTTGAAGGAAATGAGATAAATTGTACTTTCTTTTTGACTTACTTTTTCTGTACCTTTTCTTAAGTCATAGAATTATCCTACTCAGTATTTTCTCTCTTTCAGCGTTGTAGAATGAATGAAGACACTGGGACTGATTATATAACACCTTGGCAGCTGTCTCAAGTGGTTGATGGTGGGGGTATTGGAATTATAGAAGAAAGCAAACACAAAAATATGACTAAAGGTGATTTTGTGACTTCTTTCTATTGGCCCTGGCAAACCAAGGCTATTCTGGATGGAAATGTCCTTGAAAAGGTGATGTATCTGATTTTTTCCTTCTGTAATCCTAACTTTATGTGTTTAACATTCACTTCTGTTTACTACCAAGGTTAAAAAAAGAAGGTATACATTGTTTTTTTGCTAGTCATCAAAATGTGGCAAAGTCTCTCCTTTTCCACTGTTGCTGTAACTACATATGGCAATTCTTAGATTACCAGTGAGTGGTGTCAGTTTCCTTATTTAATTTCTCAAGTTATAATGTGTACTATAAAACCTGAGGTATACACATCAAAAAATAGTTTGTACTAAGTAAGAGAATGTCCCTTTTAGTGGTATGCTTTAAAATTTTTTGAGAAATAGCTACCTGACTTAAACTTATTTGCTTTATGATAGAAATTCCATCTTATGTCAGAAATCTAAAGTTCAGTTTCTACTATTAGGTTGAACTATGTGAAATGACCAATTTCTGAACTGACTTACAAAAAACAGCTACTTTATGTAACTCAGTCTAATAGATGTGTCATCAAGGACATTTATGTCTCTGAACCTCTTTTCTCAAGTGCAAAATGAAAGTCACAGCTTCTCACAAGTAGATGTGAAAATTAAATAATATGATAAATGTGCCAAAACCTTTGTAAATTGTAAAAAGCTATGCAAATTTTTAGTATCTTTTATTACTAATTTCAATAATTAGTATAAAATTACTGGTAAGGTACAAATGATATGTGGGCAATATTACACAACCATTTTTCAACTGAATGGTACTAGTAAAATATACTTGTTGTTGTTGTTAAGTGCCTTCAAGTCGGTTCCGACCCATAGCGACCCTGTACAGGGTTTCCGAGGGTGTAAATCCTTACAGGAGTAGAAAGCCTCATCTTTCTCCCGCGGAGCAGCTGGTAGTTTCGAACCGCTGACCTTAAGGTTCGCAGCCCGATTCGTAACCACTATGCTACCAGAGCTCCTTAGCTAGAAATTTATTTAAAAGAAGTGAAAAAGGAATATTTAGCAGTTTCTACTTTTACCTGTCAATTTGCTGTAGTGGGAACTTGAGCAGTTGGTGACAGCTTGAAGATGCTTTGGGAACAGTTACTAGAAATGAGGAAATCAAAGTCAGAAGGATGGAGGGATGGTTTTGCTGAACACAAACTGATCTCACAATGTTTTATATTCTGGCTTTACTTATTACCAACTATTACATACTTGAAACATTTTTGTGTATTGTAGACCTTAATATCTCTTATTATCTTTATCTACATACCAGATTTAAATAATGGTGATGGTGGTGGTGTGCCATTGAGTTGGTTCTAACTCATGGCAACCCTATATAGCGTTTCCGAGGCCGAAAGCCTCAGCTTTCTCCCTCAGAGCGGCTGGTAGATTTGAACCACTGGCCATGAAGTTAGCAGCCCAGTGCATAACCACTATGCTACCAGGGCTCCTGACCATTAATCATTACTGAATACAAACTGCCATTTTATTTCTTTGTGGCAGTTGATAAATCATACTGACATGGCGGGTATTGATTTCTTTTGGTGGTTTATTAAATGTTTACTAAAGTTATTCAGTTCTTTAAAAACTATTATAATGTTGGAGGCGGGGCTTAATGGCAGATTAGGGAGAAGTGTGGTGCAGACATCCACAGCAATAACACTGTTCAGGGGATGGTACCAGAACTTTTAACTACATATAAAGTAATATTTAGAAAGTTCAAAGGCTTACAGCTAGTGGAATTTGTAGAATTCCACAACAGAAGTAAGAAACCTGGTGATTTCTCATCAGCTGGTCCCAGTGGCTCCCAGAGCGGCCATCTTGGGTATGACAGAGTGGGTGAAGGATCACAGCAGTGCTCCTACCACAGACGTCTAACCAATCTTGGAGATTCTTTTTGTCTGTTCATTGGTCTCTCACTGCCTGCACACCTTCACCCTGGTGATTAGAGTGAGTGGACACCCCACACCCCCAGAGGGTTTTACTACACATGCGCATGAATCTGCTCAGCAGAATTTAAGAAGGTGAAAGGTTCTGCTTAAAACCAAACGGCTGCCCAAGATAGATACAGCCTGCGTGGATCTGTTTATCACTAGGAAAAAGGTCTGAACGGGGGTTGTGGAGTGGGAGAGAGACAGACTAAAGAGGAAACAGACCAAAAATTAAATCCTAAGTTATATCATAAGGACCAACAGTGACATCCTGAAATTTCTTAGGCAGACTTGAAGGCAAAAGAAACCAAGAGAGGGACGTTAAAGTCATAGTCATATTTGGCTACAGGATTTCTTTTTTTTTTTCTCTCTCTCTCTTTTCTGCAATTATAGACTATTGTTGTTGTTGTTAAGTGCCATCAAGTTAGTTCTAACCCATAGCAACCCTGTATACGGTTTCCAAGGAGCAGCTGATGAGGTTGAACAGGCAACCTTGCTAGATAGACATGGACATTATCTCGTGATTAAAGGGTCAAATGAACAAGATGACATAACCATAATAAATATCGATACTTCCAGTGCAAGGGCTCCAAAATATATAAAGCAAACTCTTATTAGATTTGAAAAAAGAAATAGATAAATCTACAATAATAATGGAAGGTTTTAATACACCACTTTTGAAAAAGGATAGAACCAGAAAGAAACTTGACAAAGACATTGAGGAACTAAACAACGCAGTCAGCCAACTTGACCTCAAAGATGTGTAGAGAGCATTCAACCCAACAACAGCAAAATACACATTCTTTTCCAGTGCACATGGAACATTCTGAAGAATAGACCACGTGTTAGGCCACAAAACAAGCCTCCATAAGTTTATAAACATCAAAGTACTACAGAGCATCTTCTCAGACCAAAGTGCTATAAAATTAGAAGTCAACAATAGGAAGACCAAGGAAATACAGTTAAATACATGGAAACTGAATAACAACTGCTGAAAAGCTAGAGGGTAGTTGAAGAAATAAAACGTGAATTCACAAAGTTCCTAGAAACAAATAAGAACGAAAACACAACATCCAAAATAGTTGGGCCACTGCAAAAGCTGTGCTGAGAGGACAATTTATTGCAATAAATGCACACATCCAAAAAAAAAAAAAAGAGAGAGAGAGAGAAAGAACCAAAATCAACACATTAGCACAACATCTTCAACAACTAGAAACAGACCAATGAAGTAAACCTACAGTCAGCAGAAGAAAGGAAATAATAAAAATTGGAGCAGAAATAAACAGAAAACAGAAAAATGATAGAAAGAATTAACAGGACAAGAAGTTGTTTCTTTGAAAGAATTAATAAAATTGACAAATCATTGGTAAACGAAACGTAACGAAAGAGGGAGAAGACACACATGCATAAGAAACCACATAGATGATGTCACAACAGAACCAATCAAAATAAAAAGGGTAATAACAATATTATGAAGAGTTATACTCCAACAAATTTGAAAATCTAGAGGAG